TCAATTCTGGATTAAAACGATGGATTTCGGATCGAAACAAACTGTTTTCGTTCAATCAGATGGGAACAATTCGTTATCGTTAAATCGAAAGGAAACGAGTTGTTATCGTTAAATCGAAAGGAATCGATTTGTTATCGTTGAATCAAAAGGAAACGATTGAATCTGGTTGATTTAGGTTGAGATAACGTTTTGATATCTAATCACTAAGAGAACTATTGATCCAAAAACAAAAATAGTCAATGTGAAGTTGATGAACCAATCAATGACATTATCTATACATGAAGAAGAGAACAGTTCCATTATTCCGCTACTCAATTGTCTTTCATAAGAATTGAGTCTTGCCTTCTTCAGTCTTTTTACTGAACAAGACAAGAAACTATGTGGGCTAGAGGCCTCCCCGAAAATTCTTGTGAATTTTTGGGGATGCCAGTTTTCAAGAGGTCACTTCCTTTCCAGGCTTCTACGAGAGGTTTTTCTTAACCTATCTAGAACCTGAAGGAGTTACCCCTTTGAAAGACTAGAGCGTGGGGAGCCGGGGTCTCCCCTGGAAAACACACTAAGTTGGTTTCCCTAATTGTTTTAGGGAGGGTGGGTCGGACAAAAAAGATTTCGTAACAACCTATAGGATTGTAGTAAACTTATTAACAATCTAGGGATGAATTGATATCGAATTTAAATTCTTATAGTAAGTTGAATTACGGATAATTGATAGTTAATGCAGTGCAGTGAATGGAAAGATGATTGAGATGAAAAAGATACGGTCTAGGAAAAAGGAAAGAAAGGGAGGAAAGTCCTTCCCTCTCTTTGATGCTCTATATATCATCATGTCTTCCGCCTTTCTTTTATTTCCAATATTATGACGTATTTAATCTAATTATATGGCTTTCGTAATCCCGTCTCTCTTGAGAAGGAATATGATATTCCTCTTTCTGGATTAAGGATGACACGCTACTTTTCACTCTCACTCCTATCTGTCATCTATCTAGTGCACGCCTTCATGGACTGACTTCACATTTCGTGCCTCATGTAAAGGCCTATCCATTATTCCGCTACTCAATTGTCTTTCATAAGAATTGAGTCTTGCCTTCTTCAGTCTTTTTACTGAACAAGACTAGAAACTATGTGGGCTAGAGGCCTCCCCGAAAATTCTTGTGAATTTTTGGGGATGCCAGTTTTCAAGAGGTCACTTCCTTTCCAGGCTTCTACGAGAGGTTTTTCTTAACCTATCTAGAACCTGAAGGAGTTACCCCTTTGAAAGACTAGAGCGTGGGGAGCCGGGGTCTCCTTTCACTCAGGTTAGTGTCGGTCCTGAGCCTCTCCGGCTCTTCCCCACACCGTCGCTAGCCACACGTTTTCTCAATCAGCCAGACTCTCCTTAAAGGTTCATTTCTAATGTACTCAGAAACTAAGAGGCCTAGATACATTTCATGACACGTAAGTAGGGATTTTGCATCGCTCCTTGTCTAGTACATATTGCGCGCACCGCCATTCTATCCCTGACCACTCTCGCTGGTACAGTGAACAGCATTCCGACTTCCAACGGCCCAGGTGTTTTATCTCTTCCTTTTTAATCCCTGCTCTTGTCAGGAGTGTTGCGCCACCTATCCTGAAGGAGTGGCCCGTCATGTTGCTCGATTTTCCCCAAGCTGACTCTAACACCTTAATGAAGATTGGTCTCGTTATCGCCGTTGTCCAACCGTCTCTCCAAGTCATAAAAAGTCTTGGGTCTTTTACCCTTTCCATCCTTCGCACTAGCTGTCCTAAAGCTTTGAATGGGCAAAGGCGGCCGCCTGTTTCTCTAAGCAATAGATACTGCAGCTCGCCCTTTTTGGATGTCTTTGCATCACGAAGCGTAATCTTCGCCATCCGCTGTCCTCCTACCAATATAAACTGCAAATCAGACTTTAGAACGGCTTGGATGTCCCTTTTATTGTAAGACGTTGTTTTATAAACAAGTTCTCCTATTCGAGCCAAACCCCAATACGCTGTGAGGACCAACGCGGTAATCCCTACCGGATCCACCTCATTCTCCTGGATGTAGTCGAGTAGTTGTGCTAAAGCTTTTGGTGATACAGGTCTTCTGTCGCCTCCCAGTAGCTTCGCCTCCATTTCCAACCTTGTTGACGAACGTAGAATACTCTTCATTCGTGTCTCATTAATAGTCGGGCACCGCTGTCCATGAAAATCGTGCCAAGTCCGGACTGCAGACAAATATTTGTGTATCGTCACCACTCTTATTGGCTTGTTCGTAGCTTTTTCGTTATGGTTGTGTCCCGCCCATACAATGAAAGATTTGATCGTAGACCGAGCTGCTGGGAATGGTTGTAGGCCGAACTGCGTTGTAAAGACTTTAAATTTTTTAACACCAGATGCATAAGATTCTAGGGTACTCCTCTTCCATCCGCCCTTTATCATGTGTCGCTGAGTGCTCGTGAGTCGTTGAGGAGTGTCATCTTTTACTCGAAGAAAGGTTGTTAAGTCCTTCATTCTTGGAATCCCGTTATCTTCTAAAAACAAAATTTTTTTAAAACGATTCAGACGTGTTATAGCGAAGGTACTATGTTTGCTGATGCTCTTACTTTTTCCTACCACTGCTAGTTAAAAGACGGCTGTCTGGATTAAACCTTCACGCTGAAGCAGAATTGGTAACTTTTTGAAGATAAACAGGGGGATGGGTTCAATTTTTCTAAACCAAAACGCATCTCGTGGATCCTCTGGATTTATAACCTCCTGACTCAGCAATCCTGACGGATCTTTTTTGGTCCTTGGGAAAGTCTCCTGAATCAATCAGCCTCACTCTCGTAATATCGACCCCGGGCTATCAGGATTTATCGTTATTACGTAAGCAACCGACCTTGGTTCTCAAGGATCGCTTCAATGGGATTGGGGGGATTAACATTATCACATTGTTTCATTTTTAACATCACAAGGCCACAAGTATGCTAGCTACAAATTTGATACGAAGGCACCCGAAAGGATCGACGTTACTATAACCAGCTCTGGGTTTGGTTCTGCTCCAGTCAGCGCTTCTATCTCACCAACTGATCCTCTTCTGTCGCGTTTCTCAGCCAAAGAGTGAGGTCTTCTGGAATTTCTAAATGGATCTGCCTAAACCAATCTTTGGAAGAGGACATGCCCCGGGACAGCTCGTCCGCTGCATTATCTAGGGAAGTTACCCTTCGTTGTTCAACCTGGCAGTCGTAAGAGTATAAAAGAGAGCTAATTTGTTTCCATTCTTGGTTCACCCAGAAATCACGGGACCGTTTGTTCCGTAGCACCCCTTCCGTCGTGGTGTTGTCGGTTAAGACCAGAAAGCGGCTTCCTTCCATTGTCCTTAGTTTCGCCAATGTCAGTAGTCCAAGACGGACCGCTACCGTTTCGAGCCATGCGATCCCTCTTTTGGGTTGGTCCAGAGGTGTTTCCCAACCTGGTAGTAATCTAAACTGTGACCAATCCTTCCCAATTATCACTCCAATGCCAAAGGACGTCGAAGCGTCACCGACCCAACCGACGTTTGTCACTTCTCTCTTCTTTAAGAGGTGTCTATTTGGAAAGCTTTGAAGAGTGTCCATCCACACATTAAGGTCCCCCCTCGTCACGGACGCCATCATCCTCTTCGCGTACTTATCGTGCCACTCTGCCACCCACCGGAAGCTACTAGACAAATAACACCTCAGTTGCGGTAAGATGTATGAAACATGACTGAGACGACCATTCATCTTCTCCACCTCCTTATAAGAGTAGTGTGTCTGCCGTAAAAATTCACTGAGCTGGTCGATTCGTAGCTGTAGTTTCGGTAGCGGGAGGCATACTGTTTTTTCCTTGAAATTCCAGAGAAAGCCAATGTACTTTTGTTCATTGGCAAAATGGGAAAATTTGGTTTCATTTGTCTTTACTCCCAGTCTTGCACTATAGGCCACAACTTCTTCCATGTTTAGCGAGCTTGCCTCTTCTTTGATCAGAAGATTGTCATCTACCCATCTAAAAGCCTCTTTCAGTCGAAAATGTTTCTTAACTAATTCCTTCCACCCATCGGCTGGACCACCGAAGCTTCCACAGCCTCCGACGCCTCCAAATGAAATGCATGTGTCTATGTACTGAAAACCTAAGAAGCACGTTAACAGTAAGAATGGCCACTGGCTTGGGAGAGTTCCGATTTGCCGGTACGCTTTCTCCCAGTCGAACAAACCGGCTTTTATGGGAACTTCTGTTTCTGCTACAAATTCGGAGACCGTCGAGAAATTATCCCATGTTGTTTTGAAGTCGTCTTTATTAACAAAAGAGTTGACACTGGGAATGTCTGGATTGTTCTTTGGAAAAGATAGGTCATTGATGGGCCTAAAGGACCCATCGCCGTTTATGACGGCTCCCATCGGGATCGACCAAAAGAAAGGAAACCGTGATTGTAGTTTGGCTGTTGTGAAAGGGCCATACATCCTCCCCGCCAGCACTTCTTTACGAATGTTCTCCATGATCTTGTCTCTGACTTCCTTCAAGGATTGGTGGTTAGGTGGGCAGTAAAAAGGAAGACTACCAATACGATGATCTGGTATACCCTGATCAAACCCGTTCCTAAAGCCCTCAAGAACAAAACTAAACTGCGGTAGTAAGTCGTATCTCTTTAACTCTTCTTCCCACATCCTTATGTTCATAGCGCAGTAAGGTTTTTCCGGCCAGCGAGTTGGCAGAGAGTCGAACTGGTCCCCTGGCGAAGAGTCCCTTATTGGAATGTGGACTTCTGTTAAACCTGTAGGCTCCTGTGGTGCAGATGTCGTTTCCTCATTCGGGCTAGGTCTTGATGCTGATCTCTGGTTTAGACTAACCAAGGCAAAGAGGTAGTTTTTAGGGGAGAACACACAATGTTATTACGCTGATCAAAAACCATAGTTATATATTCCTGAGGAACATCGGACAGGGGAAATCACATCAAAACTAGCGATACGTATTATTTGAGCTAGGGGTTGAATGCCAACGCAAAACAGCCAACCTTCATCAAACATTCATACAACACTTTCACAGGACTCTGACATGTTACTGGATGAGCGGTAAGGACAGTAAGGTGGTAGATAAGACCATGTGCTACAGGGGGTGAGGGCGCTTTTTGCAACAACCAAAAAGCGACACAATTTCAAGAAAAAACGACCTCACTACGGCCCTTTCATAAAGGAGAGGGAAAGAAGACCGCATCATAGGTGCCAACAACCAAAGGACACTCACTGTTGGCGAGTTCTTCCTCTACCATTAGACGCTCCACCTCTACCTCTACGCACTGTTCCTCTATTACTAGGTTGACGGACTTCTGATGCTTGATCCCTTCGTAAGGGTGGGAGCATCTCGATGATGTCTGGGAGACGAGGAGCTCTAGGTAAGCGAGTTGCTCTTCTATGATTTGAGGACAAGTTCGGTCGGGTTAAAGAGCGTTTCCTCTTCTTGGACAGGGTAGTTGTCGACTCTTCCCAAACCCCCGTGATAGGATCACGATGCTCGAATCGAGCTCCTTTAGCGTATGGATTCTCATTCCCTGAGCTGAGTTCACCATGTCGAGTTGCCTTCTCTTTCGCCGCCCTCTCAATGCTTTCTACATAGATACTAGCATCCGGGACCGGGACGCCCTTACCCCTGTGACCAAACAGTTGTTCCCTAAACAAGATATCGTACCGGAGAGCTACCATCCAGCATTCGGTAGCGTCTCTCACTGCCAGCATTAAATATGTTCCCTGGTCGGAACATGACCTAGGCTGGGAATATCATTGAGAGAAGAATGGTGCATCAAATCATCTTGCACTGCACATCTGAGCCATAAAGCATACACTACATATGTGCAAACATCTGAGTAAATCCTTAGCTATCAGCTACATACAGGTCCGCTCAGTTTTCTGCTCATCTAGATAAGAAGTTCATGTGTAATACATGCTGTAACTTTGTTCAGATTGAGCCACACATCTCAAAATATTGACTACATATATCACAATGGCTACTCAGGAAATATTCATGGAACTGTGTAACAGTAGCAGGATGGGAATGTGATCACTAGGACCCATATTCCCATCTGGGAACCTCTTTAATGCTGGCAGTGTCTGTGATTCAATCTGTCAGTTCTAAGCGGAATATCCAAATTCTTGAATAAACCAGATCTTACTTGATGTCTTTGACATGCTTCACGTGACCTCTTAACTGATCGGATAAGATCGAGAAGTGATATACCTTCTTCAGGTACTTTCTCAACAAGGTTATACCGTCCACCCATTCACCGAAAGTCATCGCGTATTCGGATGGGGGAGTAAGACCTCGGTTACGAGTATTCTTAGACGAAGACGTGGCGGGTTGGTTCTTTCTACTTTTGACTTTGTCTTTCTGTACAAACGTTGGGTTCAGAACGGTAAGGGGAACGTTATCTGACAAGTTCTTCATGGCCTCTCCCCAATAAGGTTGGAGAGTAGGAAGGGAAGATTTGCAAGGTGCTCCTTCTTGAAAACGAATGCCGTTTTCTTTCTTGATGCTCTTCCTGCTAGCTGAAGACTTGGTTTTTGAAGACGACACTTGTTTCCCGTGTTTAGTCACCGCTTTCCTATCTAGGTATGATGAAAGTTAATGTTTTTTAGCCATTCAATTGGAATTGGACATCGGTATCTCATGGATGAGACGACCTGATGATACAGATGGTGAGTCTGCTTACCTCTAGAAGGGGCTTTCTCTTTTGCTAAAAGGGCCTTAGCTTTTTCCTTCGCTTTAAGAGCTTTCGCAATCACTTTATCGATCGCTTTGATTGACATGTTGGAACCTATGTTCGTACAAACACATCGGCTTTGTTAGAAGCCAATCTCAACCAGTGGGAGATGTTGAACAGGGCTACGTGAGTAGCCTGTAGACTAGAAAGTCTCATCCCTAAAGAGGGGCGCTCAAACGATGGGAGCTAGAGGATGATATGACAAGACAAAAGGATTTCTTACGCTTCTTTTTCTCCTTGACTGTCAATTCTGAATCATCTGAGTCGCTCGAATCATTCGAAGAATCAGATGACAATGAATCTTCCTCAGAAGAATCTTCCGCCCTCGCGCTGGACTCGGAATCGGATGAATCCGAAGAGTCCCCCGAAGATGAAGAGTCTGGACTCCCATAGTCGTGTTCTGCATTGTACGTGTCATCCTCCGAATCTTCTTCTTGAGACTCTTGATCTTCTACCTCATCACCTTCCACTTCATCCTCCCCTGTGTAGCTATCCATGGACCTGGCTATCGCGTCACGTCGTTCCTCTTCAATCGTTTCACCATCCAACTGATCATTGTTGGGATCATCAGTACCTTCCAGATCATCCGCCGGAGCAGCGGGTGGAACGGTCGTGGTTGATGAAGGGGGGGCGATGATGACCGTTCCCTCTTTGATAGCCTCTCCTCTAGCACTACGGGTTATTCGGCTAGTTGTTTGATTGTTTGCCATTTGGAACCCAAAGATTAAACCGATGTTATTAAGGGTGGGTGTGACGTAACAATTTGTTAGACGACTTGTGTTCTCTTTAAGATGAATTAAAAAAATTAGAGATATGTGATGGATCGAGAAATGACGCGGATTAAGTGAGGATGAATTTATGAACGTAGAGAGGCTAATCTGCTGGGTGACTGCTATCAATAACTACAAACAGGAAGTAACGACTAAAAGATTGCAACAGGAAGTAACTATGAAGAGTTCGTAACTAAAAAACCAATGAATCTGGTCTCGCTAAAGACGGGAATGGGACTTCTGAAAAGGACTTTGTAATCTAAAACAAAACAAAAAAGATTTTGTAACAACCTATAGGATTGTAGTAAACTTATTATCAATCTAGGGATGAATTGATATTGAATTTAAATTCTTATAGTAAGTTGAATTACGGATAATTGATAGTTAATGCAGTGCAGTGAATGGAAAGATGATTGAGATGAAAAAGATACGGTCTAGGAAAAAGGAAAGAAAGGGAGGAAAGTCCTTCCCTCTCTTTGATGCTCTATATATCATCATGTCTTCCGCCTTTCTTTTATTTCCAATATTATGACGTATTTAATCTAATTATATGGCTTTCGTAATCCCGTCTCTCTCGAGAAGGAATATGATATTCCTCTTTCTGGATTAAGGATGACACGCTACTTTTCACTCTCACTCCTATCTGTCATCTATCTAGTGCACGCCTTCATGGACTGACTTCACATTTTGTGCCTCATGTAAAGGCCTATCAATGATGAACCAAATCAAATCGTGATTTGGGGAAACTTGAATCGTAATGGTTCCTTTGGTTCGGTTTCAGTTGTCCTAATCGTTTTAGGTAGAATTGATTGAAGACAAAAGAAGTTAAATATTGTGGGTACTTGAAAGATAGGAGGAGTTGAAATACTTACCCAAAGAAACAAAAGTGAAAGATGGAATGTTTGAGTTGATAGGTGGGGAGAGTTGGCAATTCAGAAGGGACTTTAGACCAGAGCTGTGTTTAAAAGTTTCATTTTGAATTTCAAATTTTCAAAATGAAATACATTGTGACTAAATGCTGTTTAGAACAACTTAAGTTGAACACTACATTTCTGTGTTTTTTTGAGTCACAGAACAAAAAGAAACAACAATGAGAGGCAACATAGCTTTGTTCAGGTCGTGAGCACGATGGAGATACTCAAAAAGGAAAATTTGAAATCATGAGTTATAGAAAAACAGTCAATAAATGATCTAAATTGATATTCTATAGTGGTGATGCATCCCGATCTCTTTCTTCAAGAAGAACATTCAAAGATGCCATACTTTCACTCAAATCAGGCCGACCACCATTTTTAACGTGTTCAGCAATATAATCAATATCATGATTCTCTTGATGATCTTGGGAAGATGATTGACCCGGAAGAAAGGGGAGATCTAATATACCACAGAGTGTATAACACCGATGTTGGTTCTCAAAGTTGGCAAAACCCTTCTCTGCCGTATTTGTTTCAGCAACCCAAGCGTTCCTAAAGGAATGTAACATAACCATTTGTGAGATGATGCCAATGACAATGTGGGTAACAGAAGGAAAAAAAAACACCTTGAATCAAGGATCAATGGGTCCGTCAAATAAAAACCAGACCCTTGTAAATCAGCAACCAATCGTTGATGACTTGTAATCTCGTAAACATAGTGGGTGAAGGCTGCAATGCATAGGTGAATTGGATCTCCAACTTGTTGGGTTTTGAAATGTACATTTGAAGTGTATTTTCGGAATTTACCTTGATCAACTAGTGAGTCTTCAAAAAACCATATATTCTTTGGATCAAGATCATCATACTTTCCGCTATATACCACAAATGAGTTGACGACCTAAAACAATATATAAGTCAGTAGTATGACACATATAAGCCATTTGATCAAGTGTACCTGTAAATTAGCTATACAATCTATGAGTGGTTTATCTTTCAAAGAAGCGCATTTTGCCTGAAATTGCTTTAAATACTTCGATACAGCCATATAAAGCTGCTGGGTTTGGGTGTATGAGTGGAGAAGTTTCTTCCCAACAGTGTTGGTTGTTATGAGCTGCTTCGCGACCATCTTGCAAACATTTCCCTTGATTTCACCTAATGCATTATAACATATTCGACAAGAGCCTCTACCAATCTCCTGCTCAGTAAAGACATGATATTCAAAATTGACGGGTTTCCAACCTGGCTGCTTAGTACATGGATCAACTTGGAACACCAGATTTTTTCCACGAATAAGCTTGATTGGTGTAGAAGGTGTAGAACAAGGTGTAACTGGAAAAGGTGTGCCAAATTGTGTGATACCAACATCATTGAATGTGGTTAAAGCACCTAAATACAAGGTGGGAATCAGCATTTTGAAGACAGAGAAAGATATAAAAGCTCAGAGTTCTCACCAATTGATTCCTCATTCATCGATGTGAGCATTTGGTCATGAGAATGATTGTTGACTCTAAGAAGCGAGTTTAAACCTTTCTGAGTGGAGAATCTTGTTTCGTGGTTGTAATTGGTTTGCAAGATAGGTATGTCATGTCTAAGAGTTGGAACAAGGTGTGTTGAATTGTTCAATGTGAATGTACTTGATTTGGCACTGGAAGGCAAGAAAGTTGGCGGTCCCATGAGATCGACCTCAGAATCTTGATTCAGACATGATGTTGAGACGGACGATTGATTCTTGTTTTGGTTTAGTGTCGGAAGAATATTGCTACGTAGTTCTAGAGTTTCTGGGGCAGAATCATCCGAAATCTTGGTTGAACAAGTAGCTGGTTGGCTTTGTTTAGTTTTCTTCACTCGCTTTTTGACACAAGACTCTGAGCTAGAAACACTATCGAGTTCTTCTTCAGAAGTTGAAGGTTCGTGTTTTTTTTTGTGGGTTGTTTTTTGCTTGATACTTTTTTCTTCTTCAGTTTTTCTTGGGTCGAAGGATAATCTTTGTCATATTTATCACCCTCAAAGATAAGCTCAAGTCCATTACGTGTGTTGCTGAGATGTTCCTTGATCATTTGAGTTGTAATCTTAACAGGAGGACGAGTAGTTGATGTGATATAGAAATAATCAGATTGGAAGAAGAGTGGATATGCTGGAATGTTGTTCCTTATTTCTCGTATTTCACTAGAAAACTGCTCAAAAATTCCACGGCAAGCTTTGATCCAGAGAAGATGATCAGTTTCCTCTTCAGTGATTAAAAGTTTGATGTTTGCTGCATGATGAGGAAAGAACGTTTGGCTGATACGGCCATGGTGATACATTGCGAGCTTAGCAGTGAAAGTGTATGATGATTGAGTGGCTGATATGGTTGGTTGGTTCGAAGAAGAAGACAAAGATGAGGCTGATTGATTCAGACGTGAGAGGCCTTGACGTTCCTGTGATTTCACTGCAGCAAAGCGGTTTCGAAGTGCCTGTGATTCCTTCTTCTTGTCTGCTACTGATATGTGATTATTAAATGCATGATTTCCAGAAGCACTTGAGAGTTGACTGTTCTTGTTAGCAACAGCTGGTACATCATCACTAAGCTTCTTGAGGCAGTCTTCACACATTTTAAATTGTGTGTATTGTTGTTCGACTAAGTTGATGTTGCATTTTTTGCAGACACTAGACATCTTCAAGGAATATGTTTACAAAGGGGTTGTGGTAATATTGGTAATATGAACTATGATAATAGATAGTTTATGTTGTTTTGTGCCAAAGTCTAGTGATACAATCTGATAGAAGCGCAAAAAGAGTGGATATAAAGACAAAGGCCATATATTGAAACCTATGTACCGGTGGTGAACGGGTAAATCTATTAGATGTGATATGGTGTCATGTTTTTTGTCGGCATGACACTTTTCGGTCGTCAGACCGTCCGCAATGACTCATGTTACGACACGGTTTTTTTGAATCAAAAATCCATGTCGATGTGTGTCGGTATGAGTCATGTCGGACGGTTTTTGGCTTGGAGATGAATTTCGACCAAACATGACATGGAAAAATTACATGTGGAATCCATGTCATGTTTATATGTCGGTATGAGTCTACACGTATTCCATAGATTCGGATTGCATTTCAAGAATTTACAGTTTGGGTGAATTGTAAGGATCTTGAATCGAGTCAGATTTATTTCAGAAGGTATACGAGACAATTCATATATATTTATCTTGTTGTCTCCCCGAATCATCCAAATGATATCACCATTTTCGAGAAAGATCCAAGTGAAAATCTCGAGAGGTGATCGTGAAGATTTGTTTGTTGGCGGATCGGTTGAATGACCGATTTGATCAAGATGCAAGTCATCAAGTCATACTTGCTCTTCCAGGGAATTTAGACATCCTCTCATTTTGGAATTGAAGCATGGGACTGGTTCCATGAAAATCGGTGCAATAGATTTTTAAAGTTGAACAAATTGTCTCGGGTCAAGGTTTCAATAACCGGGGTCATGAGACCAACTTCTTCAGGGCCATAAGAACTCGTGTCGGAGTTGATCAGTCTCTCAGCTTAAACCTTCAAGCAAGAAACCAAAAGGAAATCAAGCAAAGATCTCATCTCAAAAGATGAAGCTCAATGAACATACTGCCTTAGTAGGACCAAGGGTAGTGTTAGTACCTTATCGGTGAGTACTTAACATTCACCTTTACTCATCAATGAAAGAAAGATCAAAAGGAGTCAACTGAACTGATCGAAGATAACTTTGAATGGAAAGGCAAGAGCATGTAAAACAGTATAACCAATGGATGAAAGATTTAGAATTACAAACACTAACGGCTAGTGAAAGTTTAAGTCTAGAAGAAGAATATCAAATGTGTCAAAGTTGGTCAAATGATTCAGATAGTTAAGTTTTTGGATTGGATTTCTGGAAAAGAGCGTTCAAGATAACTGATTTGGATTGAGTGTTTTGATTGATACATAGGATAGAATTAACTTTTATCATTTTAGAAAGAGATACGTCTTTACCTCTTCAACTGGAAAATGGAAACTTGAATCAATCTTTTAGGTCTTCACATTTAGGTGATCATCGAATGATGTGAGTCAAATCAACTCAAGCAAAATTGGTATTGAATCTGATCATGAATGGTTTCTTGGAAGATAGTGGTGATGTGAATTTGTTTCTATCTAACACATCTCCTTCTCTTGATGAGAATGAGAATGAGAATGAAGAAGAAGAGAAATCGATAGGTGAATTAGAAATCATGATCGCTTCTAAAGCTCATAGAAGAATCGGTTTAGGTATAGAAGTCATGAAGATCTTTATGCATTATTCTCATTTGAGTATCTTACCTCAAATTGATTTTTATCTCGTCAAGATTGCTTTAAACAATCAATCAAGTATAAATCTTTTCAAAGTTAGTCATTCAAGTTTTATGTTTCTTCTCATTCTGATCATGAAAACCATATCTGAAAGTCTTGTGTTGGTTAACTTTTGCTTGGTTTCTTTTTGATTTGATTTCAGAAACTTGGGTTTAATGAATTCAAGATCAATGATTATTTTCAAGAAGTCGAACTAAGATTCAAATTCAATTCATCATCTCATCTTAACTTGACACTTTCAAAGGATCCAATTCATCAATATAACATTTCATGGACTACAACCAAAAAGATCACTTCAGATGACCAAGGTAGTAATTTGGTTCAATTTTGGATCCTTCCATGGCCTTAGACTGATCATTACTCAACTCAAAAGTCTATCAAACTGGAACTCTATGGTGGTACTAACCACGCACTCATTACATCCTATCTAAATCCATGTGGCTCAAAACTTTCTTTCGTTCACACACAAAAAAACACGGTCTTGGAACATACACAGCTTATAGAATCAACGTACATTACGCAATAAAACTTCACAAGAAAAACTACGTGATGAATGGATGCAAATGAATATCTTGACAATCTAGTAGATATACAACACATGATTGCATCGAGTTGTAGATCAGAAAGACATAGCTGAAGAAAAACGAGAAATTTATGAACCTTTAATGAATAAGTTAATGGTGCTTTAATGATTATATATATATATATATTATAGTGTAGGTAAGAAACATGACTAATTGTTGAAAGGTACAGATGTGAATCGATCAGTTGTTGAATTGAAGAAGATGACGATACATAACATGAATCTAATTTAATCTTGCTCAAGAGTATCCCAACCAGTTCGATCTGAGTAAGTTCTAACATTCTTATTTTTAGATTTCCTACCACCTAACTCTTTATAATAAGCTCTAGCTTCCAACTTATTAGCAAACTTTCCATCGGGTCCTTCGTCCCATTCTTTATGTTTCAATTGATTAGCTGTCATCCCTTCTTTTGGAGGTTTGATTGGTTGCACCGGTTGATCATCGATGACTGCATGTTTAAGTCGATATCTTGATGACCAATCTATCTTGGAATCTTTACGGGTCCAGGTAGCTGTGGCAAAAGCTTCTTCTGGTAAAGAATAACCAATCGAACTATAAAGTTTAAACCAAATGAAATCTAATATTATGAAGAAGACAGAGAAGTAAAATCAGTACGATGAAGATTTTTGAAAAGGATCTTTGATAGTTGAAGAGAAAAAAATCACTCAACTTATAGTTGAACTTTCTTTCCATTTCTGACAAACTAATCCACACTTCATTAAATCTCTTACACCTGAAAAGATATCACCATGAGAACCGCCTGTCCCATCTGAACCTAAACCGATCAATTCAAAGATTCTAATACTGATTTGTTGAGGCAATCTCAAGAGTGGATCAAAAGAATTAGCTTTAAGTTTAGCAGCTGCAGCTCTTTTGGCTTTAAGTCCAACTCGATTCTTGGATTTGTTTTTTTGTGGACTAGAACTTGGTGATAGGTTTGAAGATTGGTTTGTAAAGGTAGGTGAAGTAGGTCGACTACTGATGGGAGTACAACCGGGTTGAGGTGATCTTGGATGAACAGGTGTATGGACTGTGGTGATGGTTAAATCTTCTGTATCTGATGATGAATTAGATGATTCTTTGGTATGGTTATGGTTCAAGTATGATTTATTGGGTGAACTTGGTAAATCGAGATTCGGGTTGGAATCATGTTGATGAGCAGCTCGAAGGACAGCTTCTTGTAAGAGTGCATTGGATGACATTTTTTGATTTGATGGATTGATGGATTGATGGATTGATAGTAGGTTTGTATAATCAGTTGAGAAGTGATTGGAAGTAGGTTGAGGTTTAGGTTCGGATTCGGATGAGGAATGATGTGGTGCTATTTATGTAGCCGGAGAATGACGATGATCAGATTTTAAATTCCTCATCTTTACATATCCGATTCGTCCCGGATCATTGACTTCAAAAGCCCGACTTATTATGGCCAAATCAAGTATCGGATCAAGTAATCTTCACTGCGTACCTCATTGTTTCTATATCTCTTATACAAAACATCTACTTTGTTTCTTTCAGCGTCCAAACATGGTGAATCAGAATCATACAACAACTAAAGAGTGAATGTTACGAATAAGGTAGAAAAATCTCATCTTACATGCGCTTCTTCCTTATCCACGTTTTACCACCAGTTTATAAATTCATTCACTCTCCCATAAAATTTAAAAGCAGTTCGACTTTTCTTAAATTCTTTATTGTACTTCTCTTGAACGTCTTTATCATCATGAATCTAATCAAAAGATTCGGTTCATAGGTCTTTGTAAACCGGTTCAGTTTACTTAACCTTGGAATTTGATCTTTGATACCACTTCAATCTGTTGTACTCTCTTTACACCTCATGTTTTCCAAAACCGAATTTTCCTAAAATTGATGGCCAAACAATATTAATTGTACATTTTATCTTGACAAATAAACTTTCCTCATACTTTGACATACATACAATCTACCTTGTAGAAAAGAAAAACTTTTTGTCAAAACTGAAAGTAATCTTAAACTCGATCATTTGGATTTTCACCCATGTGGCGTATATGGTCCTGACTCATGAGAAAGACAGTTCAGGAAAGAAATTTCTAAAGCCAGATGGATATCTTGACTTTTACTTATCTGCCTGACTTTGCTTCTTGTGGTATTTCTTGTCATACTCTTCAAGGGCTTTCTAAGTATTCAATTTTGATCGTATGATTGTTTGTTTTTTGTTGAAGGTACTTCCAGTCATCCTTTGGAGGAGGTAGTGACATTACCTAGATACTGGTCTGGTGATTTCTTTACTATAGCTGCACAGTGTGCAATTGGATGATTTATTTTTTATGATTATTTTGAACTTGAACTCTTAAATAACAAGTTCATGTTAGTTCTGCACACTTGAGATTTTAATTGTCTAATGATCATCCTATTCACATCGTTGATAGAATTCCAGATGAATCACTTGAGCAATTTCTGGTCAGAAATTGCATTCCGAAAAATATAAAGTGTTGGTTTAATGGAGTATGGTACATTTCTTACATTTTATAATTTAAATAATGCAATTTCTGGCCATAAATTGATTAACTGAATGCAACCTGAGGGGACATTCACTCAAGCAGTTTCTGTAGAAAAATTGGATTCTGTGACCCTTAAAATGCCAAAATGAACCATACTATATCAAAGCAGCACTTTATATTTTGCAAGACTCAATTGCTGACAGTCATTCTCCGATCACAATCCACTATTTCTGCTATGGCTCTCCCCCACTCTATCACTTACAAACTGACTACATGACAACACGACAAAGCAGGCCCAGCCATCAGACAGAGTCTGATTACATGTCTATAGATCTTGTGGAAGAGGAACACAATGAGATGGTCTCACCTGAAATCCTCAACTTTCACAACTTTCTTCCTTTTCCAAGGTATGAGCTGTGCTTAAAACCCAGAGGACCACTAGTACCTACTCTGATCAGAGGAACTTCAATCTTGCCCAAGGACTATGCGATGGGACACACTTGACTGTCACTAAATGTGGAAACAATTCACTGTGATGCCACATCTTATCAAGGTATCAACGAGCTAAGATACTCATGCTGTCAAAGATAAAATTACTCCACATAGGTGACAATATGTTCCCACTTTCTTTCTACTGCTACCAATTCCCTGTTGCCTTGACGCTCGCAAGGAAATTAACAAAGCATAGGGGCCGAGCCTTGATTGGGTTTCGATCTCACTGCAAAACAATGTGTTCTCTGATGGGCAACTTTATGTAGCATGTTCACGCTGTACTACCTCTGCTATTACCAACGTCTCAGTATATATGAAGCAACGTGGGGGCGAGACCGCTCTAAACATTGTCCACCAGCAGTTTTTGTTCCGGCAATATTCATTGTCATGCGATAGCGATGTCTATACCTCTGATATTCCAATCTATGTTCCTCGTGTCGTTTGTACTTGCCTCTTGAGAAACGCATCAGAACACTGAGAGTTTCAGCGTTTTCCGTATTTCAAGGATTCAGAAAAGCGGGGTCAGACTGACAAGGCGTGATCACAGCTGTAAGATGTCGCGTCATAACATTGTGTTTACCGGCGAATCTGGTCTGATTCTCATCATCATGACCTTTATGCTTGCCTCTGATGCGCAATAGGGGTTCTCAAAGTAGACCCGGTTTGTAAAAACCCGGTTGACCCAGTTGACTTTTTGGCTGTGATCTGTCAAAAAATGTCAACTCGATACACAAGGTTACTGCCAAAAAGCAACCGGGTCAACTGGGTTTTCTTGAAACCGGGCCAACTTTGAGAACCCCTAATGTAGTGCCCGAGAGCATGAAAAGCGTTAGGCCTCATGTGTGCGCTGCATTGATGACAGGATGTCATACTCACGCAGCGCGTCTTGCCTACATCATCTGATTCTCATCTCGAGATTGTGGCATGATCTCATCTGCCAGAGGAAGTCAACCATCGACACTTCACAAGAATGATGTCAAATGGTGGCTTGGCTCCTAAGACTTAGTTGAAGTCAAATCAAAAATCCTTGTCACAAATTCCCCTTGAATTTGCTCGAGTTTGGGCAAAGTTGGTGAAGCTTTAGTAAATTGAGTGTAACTACTTATTATTTTGAAGATTCACGGATGAAAATCTTTCAAGTTAGTGAGTTTATGTATGTATAAGGTTCTTCTCATTTGGCACAGGTATGGGGTAGACATGACACAACTTGCACTTAAATCTACACACACAAGTCAAAGATCATCAATCCGATTCTTTGTACGCACTTCTCAAGGTTTGAGTGTTACAGCATAACATATGGGTTGTTCCTGAGATAGGATGAGTTCTGATGTGATCAAGTGTAAGTTTGTGAGATGAAGAGCTGTGATAAACAGTTTGCGTTAAGCGAAGATAAATTGTATGTACCAAGATCTTTAAAGTTTGAAATTCGCTTCAGTCCAATCTGGATTCTGATGTCGGGTGAATTGATTTGATCATCTTGGTCATGGTGTACAGATACGAGTCCGACGAATCGAATCGAATCCAATCACAAGTCAACTGGTTTGACCTTGGCTTTGGTTTTGGCCGAGGTATTCGTAAACTGATTTGACTGACTGACAGGGAAGGAATTTTTAAGATTCTTGATTTGGGTTTGATGAGCTTCTTCGTCTTGGTTAAGTTATGTAAATTTAATTTTCGGTCGGAATCGGATAGAGACAGAGAAAGCTTTGGGAATGCTTGTGATGAGTCAAAAGAGTTGAATGCTTCTTCTTGAGATGGTCATGGTCATTGGTCATTGGTGATGGTTCATTTGTGAATCTGAATGAAGAAATCCAGTCAGTCCAAGTAAAGTTGAGATCTAAGTCCGTACACAATCCATTCATCTCAGACTTGAAAACTTTTAGAATATCAACTCGATTGGATCAAATCAGTTTACTTACTCTCACTCTCACTCTCACTCTCACTATATATATATCCTAATCACTCCTTTTGTACTTCTTTTATCTCCAAATCAAATCTACTGATTGATTAATCCTTCATCTTACTTACTTACATTTAGCAAAGCCCCAAGCCTAGCTTGAGTTGATTCCTATTGAATACATACACCTTCAATTATCATATCCTTGGGGGGGGGTAATTGTGATTAATATTCCATAAGTTTCATCATCTAAATCTGAATCACGAAACAAGAAGAAAAAAACTTTATCCAATTCCACTCTTCATTCCTCCTTGCTTCTTTTCAATCTTTTTCAAAACCAATCTGATCTTTTATTGTTAGTGAAATGTCTAGAGTTGAAGATAAATCTAATCATTTTAAGACTACTTCACCAACCCATCAACATCATCGCCAGTCTACTTCACGTCCACTTAGTCAGATTCAGTCTAATACTATGAACACTAAACAACAACAACAACAAGACCAACACCATTCTCACAGAACAAACAATCCCAATAACCTTTTGAACAATAATCACATCTCACAGAGAAACTCTACGCTCAATCCCAATCATTTCATCCAATCACCACACCTTCAAACACCTCCTCGTCAAGTACCAGCTAGTCGACATTCTTACTGCGGTGCCGCTGGTCAAATTCCACAACAACCACAACCGCACTTTCTCAACCGACCACAATTTCCTACTCATGCTCCGCTTCAGATCCCAAACCAATTCAATCCATTAACCTACAAAAGACTTTCGTACATGCCAAACAGTCATCATGTATCATATCATCAAGCGTCTAATTCGATCCATTCATTGCATGGATTACCTACGATAGAAGTTCCTAATGTGAATCCTATTCAAGCATCATTCGAATCACCACATTCTTCACCTAGTTCGACCAACACTTCATATCCGATCTCTTCAATTCTCAATAGTCCTCGTAGTCCGCTTTCGAAAATTGCTAATCATCAAGAATCTCGATCAAGTTCTCATGATCAACCTGAACGAATCGTGACTGGGATCTTAAGATCTTCACTTCCTCCTCAACAAAGACCTGATCAACCAACTCTAAATCAATCACAATCAAGACCTCAGTCTATGAGTTTTACAGAACTTTCGGCTCGTCATCGGTTAGCTATCAGTCGATTTCAACAAAAACCTAGAAAATCTAATGATCCTTCTCCTCAGTTACGTTCATCTTCTTTAAGTAAAAGTCTTTCTTCACCTTCTACTAGTCCATCACATTCACCAATCGGATCACGTTTGATGAATTCAACAAATCAACCTAACAAAAAAGTGTCGAAAGAAAAAGATTCAAAAAGAAGAAAATCAGTTGAAAGTCATGAAGAAGGATGTTCACCTACTACACCCACTCATCTAAATGATCCAAGACCTAATCATCAATCAAATAGATCCTCACTTTCACCTTATGTGAAAAGTTTAAAACAAATCCAATCGGGTCAAAAGTTATCAGATCAAAGTCAATTGAATCAAGCTGAACGCAGGTTATTAGATCTTTTACCACCTTTACCACCACCTAATTTAATCATTCAAAAGAAATCGAAACCTTCTGAGATCAAAGAAGGTAAAACTGAGGGTCATCGTCGGTTCAAGGATCGGTTTAGTTGGTTTGATTATTAATCTTGGTCTCTTTTCTTTTTTGGTGAGTTTTTTTTTTTTGACAGTTTAAGTTTTGGTTGATCAATTTCTTTGGAAGTATTGGTTTGTTGATTTGAAGTTTGAACGGATTTGGGATTCTTTTAGATACGCGGTTTGGTTGAGTTGATAGTGTGTTTTTTGAAAACTTGGTTGTCTGAGCTTGTACACCACAGCTGGATGAGTTATGAAGACTTTTTAAAAACTTGATGGTCTTATTCTCTTTGATCCTGATTATATTCTTTTCTATGTTTTTTTGAAAATAATTTTATCATGTAACAGAAAGATGTGAATTTAAGTTTTAAAAATTTCGAAAAAAACCACTTTATACTTTTTAAGATTGGACTTTCTTTGTATCTTTTTCTTTTCTCTGTGATTTGGTTTTGATTTACATTGATTTTTTTTTGTTGTTTTGTATTTGAAAAAGAATTAAGAATGAGAATAAGAAAGAAAAAAATTGATGATTTATGAAATGTTTTGATAAGAAAAAAATAAGTGTACATTTTAGGTTTTCATTTTTTTTTTCATTTTCATTTCCATTTTGATTTTGATTTGATTTAATATTTTTTATAAGTTAGTATAAAATTGTATTGAGAAAAAAAATGGTCTTTTTGTATTTGGACAGTTCACTTTTCTTTTTAATTAAATTTGTTTGTTGAACACTTAAAGAAATGATATGGGTTGCAAAAGATAGGTCTTGTGGTGTTTATAAAGAAAGTTTTTGAAAGAGAATTTCAAATTGTTGATTTTTTTTGTAAATTTTTGAGATTGAGATAGGTGATAGATATGAGAACCTTTTTTTGTTTTTAGATAAGCTTTTTTTTGTTTTGAGTATGTGTGTATATTCATACATAGTTATACAGGTGAAGTATGTGATTGACAAGGTGGTTGTAATGATGAAAATAAGCTAGGTGAGGGATTTGGTTTGAGAGTGTTTTGGAAGGAATCTTTAATTTGACTTCTTCACTATTCTTTATCAATCTGACTTTCTCTTTATTTTTATCAAAGATTGAAGATGAATTTTTTCTTGAACATAATATAAGGGTACACAAACCTGGAACCCGACATGGAAAACCCATGTAAAAATCCCGTGACAACCCATCTGAATTTTGGATTTTTTTCACGGGTTTTTTTACATGGGTTGAAATCAGCTTTTTTTTTCGACCCATGGGAAAAAAAAGATAGTTGAGTTATGGACTCAACTACCCCTTCAGCTTCCACACCAACGCCAAATGTCAACCCTCCCACACCAACTCCGTCTCTGTCAAACCTTGTTCAAGCAGTTCCACCCCCTTTGATTGCAATCAGCACAAACACCGCAGGATCTCAGCCCGTTTTATCCTCAACACCTTTCACGGTTCCAACCCTTTCCCCAGCGGATTGGTTACGTCTTCAACAGCTTGTAACCACCTCAAATTCACCATCAGACAACCAACCTTCCATGCCCAATCCACCATCAGCCAACAACCCTGCTATCATGGCAACTTCAGACCCGCCTAAGAAGCCACGAGGACGACCTCAAAAGTCACCAGCAGCAGCACCTTCTCGAAAGTCTCCCCAGAAGTCTAAAGTCATTCAATCATCTCGACCGGAGTCTGATCTTCAAATTCAAACTACAGGCAAAGATGATACTCAAAGTCATAACGAGGAGAAAGACACGGATGTCTTCAAGTCTAGGAAATGCTGGTTCACCCCTGAAAGTGATGGCAAATCCAACTTAGATCTCATTGCTGAATGGTGTAGCAATTTTGAGAACTACAATTCTTGGCGCACTCAACAGAAGAAGGTAGTACGTGAGAGAGTGGCTGCTTTTCTTGTTTCCAAAGGACATGCAGAAAGAGGAGGTCAAGAGTGTGAAAAAAAAGTAAGTCTCATTTTATGTAAGTATCTATCATTGGTCCTGAATCTGCTTGTCGTGTTATAATCTAGATTGGAAATCTCGAAGCATGGTTCAGGGATGCTAATAGTCTTCAAAAAGCGACTGGCGAGGGCAATCACGACGAAGAAAGATTTGAGTTCACTGTGTCAAAAGCTGATATTGCTGTGTTCAAATGGAATAAGAGGAGGGGTAAGAAAGATGATGATGATGATCAAGGAAGTCTTCAGGGTACGTTGTTCAGTCTTGCTTCATTTATGTTGGATCGAGACTGATTGAGACTGTTTCTACAGTCAGAATTCTCCGTAGATGTCCGTGGTACGAGGAACTTGAGCCAGTTCTTCGAGACCGACCTTCCGCCCACCCTTTGGCCTCTAGAGACTCACTCGGCGAACAAGTACAGACATCGGATTCTCAATATCAAGACAAGCAGTCTCAAAGTCCAACCGGATCTGTGAACTACACATGGGACAAAACGCCACCTTGTCTTCAGTCTGAAGACAAGTTACCAGCTTCCCAAGAACACAATCAACCAACTCAGTCGAATAAAGCGACTCGACCTGTCACCCCTTCTGCTACTCCCTCTGGCAAGTGTCTACGAGTCAGCAGTAACTCGACACCCATGGTTACTGCACCTAAAGAGTCCCCTCAAGACTCTTTGGGAGGTTTCATGTCAATCTTGAATCACCTCCCCCCAAAGAAGAACGCGAGGCTAGCAAAACCCGCGCTACACAGTCTCAAGAACATATCAGTTTGAACTTTACCAAAGAAATATCGAAAATGATGACAACTACTCGAGCAACTGAATTGGCATCAAAAGAAAGCCTGGCAATTTCTAAAATGAATGTGGAGTTGCGAATCGCTCGTAGCAAGATGGTTGTAGATCTTATACGTGGAAACATGGACCCAGTTGCAGCAGAGGCCCTGGCTTTGCGCTTGTTACCCGATGTCCAGCCATCTCAATTACCAGATGCCGAGGCCACTCAATCAGGATCTCATTCACACACCACCCAAAGTGAATAGAGACAATTTCACTTTGGCTCTATTCAAAACCTCATCAAATCAAGTAGGTCAATGTTGTTGAGGATACCTAGATTGATTACAATCTATTTTCATCGAGTAATGTTTGGTTATTGAGGATGTCCGAGATGTCTTATTTCTTATAGTATATGTGTCTGAAGGAGTTTGATCCTATCGAGTTATTTTGAACTATTCGAAAATTAGTTTACTATTCGTTACTTGATACCTTTAAAAATATGTGAGATGACTCGTTCGAGATCAAATCGATCTTCAAAATTAAAAAAATGTCGTTTGTCTTTTATTTTCTAAAATGTTTGTCTCTCTCTCGATCTTCTAGTTTGGTTCAGGTTGCAGTGTGAAAGTAAAGAAATAAAAAAATTCAATTTCAAACACAAAATTTTTGATCGATTTGGACTAATTAGCGTACAAATCAGTTGATTGATTCACCAAAAAGAAGAAGTGAAAGGAAATGAGTTCATTCAAAAAAACGGGTCTAGAGACAAATGTGTGAAATCTTCGATTGACTACTTTGAGTACACAGAGTTCCTTTTCTTCTCCAAAGCTGTCTGTACACAATTCAATACCCTTTTTCAATACAAAAATCACGGAATAAACAATCACGGCGTTGATGTCCCACTGAGTCCAAATCACAGGGGCAAAAATTGATGCTCACAACTATGTGAGCGTTGAAATTTTCCTGTTTTGTTCCCATTCGTTTCCCATTTGTTTCCAATTTGTTTCCCATTTGTTTCCCATTTGTTTCCCTTTTCTTTCTGTTTGTCAGCTGATTACGTGATCATCAGGAACTGAGCAGACAAACTAAGCCTTCCTCAGCATTTATTCCTGAGCAAAGAAGTCTGAGGAAGGGCTGATCCATCTGCTCAGCTGATCCTGAGCGGCATTCCATGGTTCAGTAAGTTCCAAGGGATGCCACCAATGTATAGCTTAGGGGCTGAGCTGAACTGAGTATTTCCTTAGCTAAGTCTCTGAAGTATCCCCCAGATGGATCACAGAGCGCCAAGCTTGCCTCAAGCTTCATGGCTCCGGAATGAAGCCTGAGGCCCGTCTGCTCGTTCAACTGAGCTGCTCAGTTATTCCTCAGGGGCATCCCTGAGATCAGGAGGATCCGGAGGATTTCACTGCTCATTGGATGAGGGGCTGCTCAGTTATTCCTCAGGGGCATCCCTGAGATCAGGAGGATCCGGAGGATTTCACTGCTCATTGGATGAGGGGCTGCTCAGTTATTCCTCAGGGGCATCCCTGAGATCAGGAGGATCCGGAGGATTTCACTGCTCATTGGATGAGGGGCTGCTCAGTTATTCCTCAGGGGCATCCCTGAGATCAGGAGGATCCGGAGGATTTCACTGCTCATTGGATGAGGGCCTGCTCAGCTAGTCCTCAGGGACATTCCTGGCCGGATCAGAAGGCTCCAAAGGATGTCACTGAGTATTGGCTGAGGGGCTGCTCAGTTGATCTCAGCCCCTCAGTGTGAAAAACTTTATCCAGGGATATCACTGAGGATTAGCTGAGCAATGAGCAGATAGGATGACACTTTTATCAGGCTTCATTCCTTAGCAAGGAAGTCTGAGAAAAGTCCGGCCCATCAGTGATCCAGTCAGGGGATGCTACTGAGTATTTGCTGAGCAGCTCAAATGGGACGCCCCTGGGCAGGCTTCTTCACTGAAAAATGAAGCCTCAGGAAGGTATAGTTCATGTGCTCATCTTCATTTTGAACAAATTGCTGAGTATTCAGTGCCTCATGAGCTGATCCTGAGTACTCATCGGGAATCAGTTATTGCTCATCCAAGATGGAAATGAGCCTTCTCAATAAATGTCAAGTACAATATGAGAACCACAGGATGATCACCTGAACACAAACAAGATTGTGAATTGAATCAATCTGAAAGAAAATGAATCTTTTTTGGAGAATTCCAAAAAGTCTACAACGCTCACATGTATGTGAGTATCTATTTTGGCCCCTGTGAATAAGCCATCCTTTGTGCTGGACAGGATGGCTCATCTACAGTCTCTGAGTGACTGAACATGCTAATACCTACCATTACCGATCCATCCACAATCAAGAAGTTGT